AAGCCTTGTGGTAGCCCAACATCTTTGTAATTACTTCTAACTGGGACAAAGTTTAGAATTATTACTCCTGATAGATCCTTGTTTTCAGAAAGCCACACCTTTCAAAGTAGATCTCTGTTGTTGGTTCACTGCACTCAGTGCTCCCCAGCATTATTCATTTGACGTGAAATGCCAAGAAAGGAAAATTTTAAATCCCTCTCAAAGTTAACCTAATTAAAGTATTAATCATCCTTGAGTATGTAAAAACATATTTTTAAAAACTCACAACTCCTGATTCCAATCTTATGGGCGTTTGGGAATGAGACATTTTAGAAAGACAGGTAAAAAATTTAAAAGACTGAAGGGGGAATGACAGGCCTCCTTCTTCTCTCCTGTTGCCTAGCACTCAGCTTCACGGTCAAAGAATTACCTGGTTGTAGGAAAAAGAAAGAAGTATAGATAGATGGCTGGAAGGGAGGAAGACAATAAGAAAGGGAGGAAGGGGCTACCTACCTATTCCCATATTCTCTATGAACACTTACATTTCTCCCAGGGTCAAATATAAAATACGTCCCAAAGTTAAAGTGCTTAATCACTTGACCCACAAAGGAAAAAGAAAGTCAGTCTAAAATAAGTAACCATAAATTATCCATTTGTCAAATAAATGAAACGCTGGGGTCCTTGCAGGCTCTGTTTCATTTAGAGCGTTTACCTTTGTGTTTCTGGACTTGCACTATGATGAAGGGCAGACACTAATAAATGCATCCAATGCAGCACAGATTGATCCACCATCTAAAGAGCATAATAATCCCACTGTCACTTCTGGAACATTTCCTACTTATGATGTAATGAATTGCAAATAACTCAAATTATCTGGTGAACTAAAGACTTAATAGACTGAATCTCACTGCCCGGAAATATATCCACATTAACACTAAAAATGGACTTGAGGAAAAAATTCATCGTCTGATCTCTTGCATAAACTTTGAAAGACAAAAAATAATGATAATAATAAAAGGTAAAGAAAACTATATTTTTTCTCTACATAAAAATAAAACAATTAGTAGTATTAATGTTGAGTTATTCATTTAAAACCATCTCATATACTTAAAGGATAAAGCAAGTAAATTCTGCAATATTATTTTGAACCAAGATTGTCAGTGTAAGAGAAAAGAGATATAAATATAAAGTCAAATAATATTAAAATCCATAAAGTTAACTTGAAGACATCGGTATGAACTCATAGCCTTTTTATTTTTTAAATATTTATATTTCCTACTCTGTGCCCTGAAAAAGTCTGGAGACACTGATGCTGATAAGAATGAGCACCCTTCACATCCAGGCTGTAGTTTCTAAATTCCACTTTTTTTATTGAAAGGAATCAGAGATTCAAAGACAATTTTGAGAAATTTAATAAAGAAATTTGAATACAGAATGAACAGTAAATGATATCAAAGAATTATCACTCATATTGTTAGGTGTGACAATGGCATTATGGTTTTATAGGAAAATGTGCATAGGAAGAGATGCATACGGAAGCACATATAGTGGATATGACATAATGTTTACTTCTGTCTGATAATTTCAGAAAACAGTGGAAGGGGATAAATGAATCTGGGTGTGTGCAGAGGGGAGTTCACTACACTGTTCTCTTTATTTTTGTATAAATTTGAAGTTTTTCTGTGAAACATATTTTTTTAAATTAGGAAAAAAACCAGAAAGCAACAAAAAATGAAAAAAGTCTTAAGAAACAAAAATTTCCCTGTTCCCTACTACTTAAATATGATACCCTTTACATTAACAATAGTCTCCTTTTTTTCCTCCACTTATTTCTTCATTTCTACTTTTAATGGATATTCATTTAACATACAATTTATTTTTCAAAACTGGTCTAAATCTTTCTGATGTTTCGGTGACCCATTTTTCTAAAACTTCACCTACTAGACTGAGAAAGACAATGTACAGGGGAGAGCTGGTCTAGTGCACAGCCTTTATCATTGGACAGATATTTTCTGAACCCTTGTTCCCACTCTTTCTCAACTGGATGAGAAGGAAACTTCTTCCCTGGAGAGAAGAGCTGGCTGGCTATGGGCCTGCTCCCTCCCTCTTGGCCCCTTCGCCTCTTCTGAATTAGGTGTCTCTTGAACAGAGGAAACACCCTTCTACCTGACAGAAAAGGAGGGAAAGCCAAGGGGGATGAAAGGGGCAGGTAAAAGCGGTATCTGCACTGCCAATTCTTGCTGCGTAGTCTCTCTCCATCTCCATTACCTGTGGGAGGCGTCTCATGATCCTCAAAACAGATAAAAAGGAGTAAATGTCAGCTTCCTTGCCATGCTGGGGTTCAGTACTTTTTCTTGTCTTTCAGTTTTTGCTAGACCATGTTATCATATTTGCTGACTGGTTAGCTGATTTACTGAGTTTACCTTTTTCACCACATTTCCACCTGTTTTATATGTCAGTGATGGCTCCCAAGTGCTCCCTACTTTGGTTCCATTTTTTTCAGTCCTATTTATCCTTTCCTCAGGGAGTAAAGTGAAACGGCATGTGAGGCTGATAACAGGAACTCCAAGAAAAGGAGATCAAGGGGTTTTCTGAAAGCATTTCTGAGTATACATGCATACCCACTAATTCCGATGACAAAGGAAGAATAAAACTCAACACACTTCATTAAGGAAATGAGATGCGAATCACCTGCTTTTACTTTTACAGGATGTTTTATTTCTTTCTCGTGTAGTCAAGTCACAACTCAGCAAATGTGTGGAAACAAATTTCCAGTTACTTTATTTCCATGAACTTAAACCTGATAGCCAAAGGGACTCACGTACATTTCATCGTTGCGTGTGTCAAGTATCAGGAGATCCTGGGCAATACTGACCTAAGAGATTCCATGAGATAGAGCAAAGTAATGCCACCAGGACAGTAAACTACACATAATGAACATCCAACCCAGCCAGCTTTCTTTCTGGCTCGGTTCAACATTAAAAATGAATATCCTGAGACTGAAATCTGCTTCAATAACAGGCACTACCCATTTGAAGTTGAATGAGTTGTTGGGATAAGAACCACTGTGTTGGGATTGAGTCAGCTTCCCCCATTTACAAACTATGAACAAATAATCAATATTTGAGTTTAGCTAATGCAGACAGAGAAGTGCTATGCCCCTTAGGACCCTACGATTTGAAATGCTTTTCATGACTAAAGCTCTTTGTTACTATATAAAAGTTTCAGTACCAAATTAACAGGAACATGACTGTAAGTAGTTTAGTTCCCAACAATACATAGTGGTCACAAATGGGGAAAGAAAAGTTTTATGATTAACTACAACCCACCGTGCTTGAAGGCACACCTGATTCTGATGGAGAGATTTCTCAATGTCAAAAGTTCTGTACATGTAGATGGCACTGCATATTGCTCATCAAATCACTCTGGCATCTAGGATGAGTAAGGGGCTAGAAAATGGACTCTAAATCTTGACAGGTTAACACTCAATGAATCAGTTTAATGTCCCTGGGACCAAAACAGTCAGATCAGGCAATGGAACCCTTAGGTTATAACATTCAGACTCTGAGATGGCAACTTCGGGTTCTGGAAAGAATAATTCAGACCTTATCACTATGCAAATCAGATTCCCAAACTAAGAACAACGGATCATCTGATTTTGGAAAAGTCTTCCTTCTTCATAGACAAGTCTGGCAGATATCAGAAAGCCAGTTCTCTAAGCCTACACATGTTATATAAAATAATAAAATGCCAGAAGAGAATAGACTAACAGTATTATGTGCAAAGTACATGGGAGTGGCTTCATGTAAGGAGAAATGAAACTGACGCTTAAAGCAGGAATCTTTATCACAAAAGTCTACAAGTACCAGGCAGTTAACATAAATCTGGAAGCCTGGTTGCAGTGAATACTTAGGAAATAGGGAAGGTGAGCAAACATCAGTCCTAAAAATAGCAACAAGACCAGATTTCTAATCTTCCAAAGGAAGCCAGGTATCTGATTTTCTATGTGAAGTTTCCAGACTACCAAATGTTGGCAATTAACTCAATTTAAAAAAAGAAAATGTTTACACGTTAAAAACACGATAGTCTAAAATTTGCCCTGTGGGCCACCAATTTGCAAGTTCTGCCCTAAAATGTAATTTTAAATAATGTAATAATAAACAGAAAGCTTCTCACATAATGATTATACTAAATTATTGAGCCCTGGCTTCAGCAAGGAGAGGTTAGGAGTGGTATCAGAATACCAGGGGAGCATTTCCCAAATTACAGATTTCTGAACTATCATCACCACCACCACCACCACACCTGGCCCCAGGGCAAATAATAGTTTGAGCAGAGGATACAAAGCTTGCAAAAGCTCCCCAAGATCTCTAGCGGCACACACTCCCAGAAAGCTTCGTATAACTGGAAGGGATAGATCCAAATTGTAAAAACCAAAGTCATTGAGCCTAAGATGTCAAATAGCATATACGAAGTGGCTCTGAAAATAACAACTGTAAATATCAAAGGTGACAAGGAACTCATATTAAGTATTGCTATTTTCATATTAGTTATTTCAATCTCATGGGCAAAAAGAAATCAATCGTCTACCTGTTTACTATGAAAGATTATAAAAAAAGGTACATTTTGAGAATGTGTATATGCATGCACATGTGGGTTTATAACAAAAGCAAGGATCACATGTCAACCAATTTGAGGCATAGGTCTGCAGGTTCATTACTCAGAGAGGAAAGGGGAGTGTCTTATTTCCACATGATGCCAGACTGCAGACAGAAGGTTAAGAAATACTTTGGCATGTTTTTCTACTTCTTATCCTTTAAAAATTACAGCAGAACTTTTTATTAAGACGGCTAAACATAACCAGGATTACTACGCATTATTTTTAGATCTGATGTACGCATAAAAGGTATAAAGAAACACCTTCCTGTGATTTGGTAATGTCTGACTAATCTTTTGCTATTATTAAGCACTGCCTAATCTAACCCCACTTATGATTTTAAGCTGGCGCTCTCCCAACTCACCTTGTAACTGGGACTCAGTCTTCCAGGTCGGCTTTAAGGTAAGAGCTGTTCCAAGAGCTTTAGCCTCAGGTGCCTGCAGTCTTTCTCCCGGGAACTCAGTCTGTCTATTAACCCTGCTGGGCTTATCTGGTCAATGACAGGAATGGCTCCTGGATTTCCTTCTCTTGCTGTTTTGCAGCAAGGGGCAGAAGCTGAAAAAGAGAGATTCTAGTCACATCGCACATCTCCAAAGGACTTTCAGAACCTCTCGGAGTGACTGCCTATGGCCAATCAGAAAATTCCTTCCAACTTATCTTTTGAGGAGAAAGTTCAGAGGAATGGTGTCTCAGCATTTTACCTCCTTTGCTCAATCTTATGTAATCTCAAAGACGCAACCATTGAGCTCGTCAGCAATAAGTAACATTCACCATTTATGCCTTACCCAGAGTTTGGAGGAAGAAAACTCTTAATTTATATAGCAAATACATCCTAAAAGGGGCACAGTATAGTTTCCCAAAAAACATTTAACCCTCCAATTAAATGTAAACCCCAGTTTTTAAAAACAGTAAGTATGAAGTGGTTTCATCACATATGCACATAAATGTACAATACCAGTATGCCAAAAAAGACCCATTAATGGTCTGTAATTTGCCTTAACAGAGTAGAATTGTTGCCAAATTCCTAGAACAATACTCTAGCAGGAAGATCTGTCTACACTATCAAAGATTAGTTTTCAACTTCACATGGTTTCTCGGAAGGCAAAGAAACAAGATTTTATGAGAAAATAAAATATGTTCACTTTAAGGAAAAAAAGAAAAAAGAAAAGCCTGACAAGTAATACAGAGTAGAAACTAAATTAGTTACTCTCTGGCCTGATATGTGATAGCAGTTTTTACCTTCCAGCATCTCTAGCAGGCGCATTTCTTCACAAGGTAGCTTTAAAAATTACTCGCTGGGTTTGATTATTTTTCAAGCTTATTTTTTCACTATTTCAGTCTTCTCTTTTTACTTATGTTGAAGGAAAACACACACATATATATTCTGAAAGATTATAACTTAATGAAAGTGCAAAGATTTATATCTACTCAACATATTATTCTGTGATTGCTCCTTTAAGCACCATTTTTTCTGCAAAAAAAATTTATCCTAAATCCCCCTCCACCTCTACAAAAAAAAAATTTTTTTTTAATCTCTACTATGTTGTAAGACAAGTCCATGCATCTCGTAGGTCCTAAATAATATTTAGTTGATGACTATGATGATGACATAGAAGAACTAAGGTTAGGGTCCATCAAGATTATTATTGTATGCTCAGCATTATATCTGTTTTTTTTCTGCAAACACTCCTCAATCTATGCTCTTTAATCCTGTATAATTATAGGCAGATTGAATATGAGTGGTCAGCTACTGCATGCCCCCCTACCCACCTTTTTCCTCTCTCTTTCCTACAACGGCCAAGCTTTAGAAAAGGAGAGAACACTGAAAAAGGAAAAAGAAGGAAGAAAAATGTGGTAAAGAGCCCCCTGTGCTAAACTCCAGTTTGTTCTGCCTACTCTCACCGCATTCCTCTTCCCTAGTCTTATTCTCCATAACTTCTTACCATCCTATAATGGCGAGTGGGAAGGTGAAGTAGAACAGAAGACCCCCGGGTAAGATCATGGCTTCCTCTCCATCTCTATTTCCCCCAGTTCGGCAGGAGATAAGAGAGAGAAGGCAGGATGAAGATTGCAAACCATACCTAAGGAATTCCTTCTCCCTCTTGCATCACAAACACTGCCTGTGTCCTGCCTATAGACTATGTTAATCTGACATTGGCCCAAGAAGCATTTTTCCATTTCAGTCATCTGTTTCCCCATAGTCTTTGCCTGTACATCCTTCAAAATCCAGCTCAAAACCACAACTCCCAACTCCTTCCTTGATTTTCCCAGCTAGAAAGAAGCAGTTTTTCATCCCATCTGGTACTTTGGCCAATTCTACTGGTCATATATGCTGCTTACACCTCTTATCTCCCCTACCAGACCATGTCAACTCTGGAAAGCAGGGACCGGACCTGAATTCTCTGCACACAGTAAGTGTGAGTTCAAATGTGAAAAGTACAAGGTTTCTAGTTATATGTGCTGTGTAAGAAATGAATCTATTATTGTTCATTTTGCACAAAAGTGTGTATTTTCACACGTGTAGATGCAATGTCAAGGAATAAGGGTTTCGGCTGGTTCTTAGGCTATAATTAATATTCATAACACCTTCTATAGCCTTCAGGGAGGCTGACTACTCTGCATTAAAAAAATGACTACTTTATCAATACATGGTTCAGATAGAATCAATCATCCTTGATAGTCACTAAAGCCAGAAATGTTAGGAATATTTGTTTTAATTCAGTTTCTAAAACTTGATCAGGGCAGACAGATTTATAGAGTCACATTCAAATTTCTAAGTGACTAATATATTAAGTATTATTAAAAAACCAGGAAGTTAACCACGTGGCAACTAAGCTTTATTTCAATTAAGATACTGTGCAGGATCTTGGTCTACCTTGCGTGTAAACTGTGTTCAGGGCAGAAGTCCAAAGCTTATAAAGTTCAAGTCTGATTACACCTTGTGATGACACACACTGAAGATTAATTCTTAAAGCTCCTGTTAAGAAATAAGCTCAGAGAAGGGAAGAGGTTGTTTCCTTTTAAAACTGTAACTGAAACTAATGCTTCAAAAAATTATTCCTGGTTTTTATCAATACACACAAAAGGAATCATGTTCTCATTTAACGATACCCTTTGCAGACAAAAAGGCCCCGACACCTTCCCCCTAAGCTATTAATAAATTAAAAGTGGTAAAGGTTGATTCGAACAAAGTCTCCCACACCAACCTGTGCTCGGGAAGGAGTATCTGCAAAATCTCATCGGGCGAGCTTAGTGATTTGGCAATGGTCCCTTTCTGAATGGCTCATTCAGGAAGCTAATGATCCATTATCTTTGCACCAGAATTTTTCCTGTTAAGTTGTGTGACTAATCCTCTCACAGCCTGAATTTTGCCCACTATATACCATACTCTTGCCCAGCACACTCCCCACACCTTCTGCTCATTTCTTATTCAAGCCCCTCAGAGCACATGATGTATTCTACCCAAGCCTAGACTGTCCCAGGTAGCTACTAAGTTAATGCATAGAATGCCCAATGGAGACAAGATAAAACAAACTCCATCACTGTGTAAAATACTAAAGGAAAGATTCCTAAAATGGTGAAATTGGTGAAGACAACCAGAATAACCAAAAGAATAGTTTACAAAGTTAGCAGTCTACATAGCAAAGTCCATTTAACTACAAAAATAAGAGATGAGACACTTTTGACTATTTGACAGAAAATAGGCCCATTACTGATTCAATGCCCACTTCATTTCCATGAAGAAGGACTGGCCTTAATTTAGGGTTAAACATCCTAAATTGCTTTCCCAGAAAACTGGAGCCCAAGACATGGTACAAGGCATTTCTTCATTATCTTGTTTGCTTTGTCTACTGTCTCCACTAAATTGCTTTTTTCACTGGCAGCAATGTTTAGACAAGAAATTGATTTTTCTCTTCGTACCAAAGATAATCCCAAATGCACTAAGAATTTCTATGTAATGCCTAAATCCTTGGAGAATACAGTTGTAGTGTTACAACCCACTAGAGTTTATGGAAACAGATTGTGCTGGGACAACTTTCTGAAGATGAAAAACACCAACTCCAGTCACTTTCACTTAGCAACTACTGTGGCTTTCTTGTCACTAACTGAAGAGCAGATTTTTAGCTCGGAAATTGATGTAATCTCATTAGTGCTACCATATAACAAAGAATTAAAATTCATCAGCTTAAGAAACATATCAGAGTTTTCAGGCCTGCCATTAAGTATTGATTGATTCATCCACTCAACAATTGTACAGTTATTATATGCAAACATTAAAACCAGGCACTAAAGAAGATATAGAAATGTAACAATCAATGAAAACAAAGCTCTTCCTTTAAGAAATTTAGAGTTTAGCCATACATAACAGGAAAAGGTACATGAATAATATTTTTAATTTATAAAAGCAGAAATGGATGTTGACGGCATGAAAATGTTAATTCCAGCTTGGAGTTTGTGAGTTGGGTGGGAAACAGATCAGAGGAAGTTGTTCAAAAGTGGAGGTATTTGAAAGATGAGTAGATTCAGGCAAGAAATAGAAAAGCAGAGATGGATAAAGATTTTAAACAATGAGGGGAAGTGTAGGCGATCCAAGACGTGGGAAAGTGTGGACTATAACTCGGGTACCCAGAGTTTAGGGTACAAAAAAGGAGAGTGGGGAAAAGCATGGCAGAGAGGACGTGTGGAACAGTGTGGAAGGTCCGTCATAAATGCTGGTGAAAGACCAGGTTTCACTGGGTGGCTGTAGAAAACGAGCAGAGTTCAGAGAAGGGGAGTCACATGGTTTTCCATCATGGAGGCAGATTCCAGAGAACAAATAGGAGGAAAGAGAATCCAGAGGCAAGAGAGGATCTTAGAAGACATTAGCAGCTCAAAAAGGAGGGCAGAGCAGCTACCTGGGAGATGGGGCATCTGGGCGGGACAAGTAAATAACTTACATTTGACAGGGCAGAATGTGATCCCATTTGGCCTTATGTATTTCTTGTCTTACCAAAATAATGGGAAATAAAGCGCATCCATTTTTTTAGAAACATGATTCAAGTGATATAAGATATGGTCAACATGCTAATAAATTAAAATAACGTATTCAACATAAAACATATTTTTCTCAGTCTGTGATATTTCTGTGATCTAGGCTAATTTTTTTCAGATTTATTTGTCTCTAACTGGGTTCAAATTGACATGTTTTTCTCTGAGGGTAGGGATAGTTATTTCTCCAAATCCCAAAGACTGAGCACAAAGAAAGATCTGATATCCACTAAACATTCAAAGAAACTTTTTCTTCCCAAATTAAACAGTGTTGTTAATACTGACAAAAATTCAGATGACTGATTATACAGGTAAGAATTTTGATTATAGATTACTTAAAGGAGTCTACAATTTTATTATTCCCTTGGCAACTTTGTTCTATATCCAAAGAACAAATATCACAGAAGACACTCAGTTTATTCCTCAGTTGAACACAATTTCATTTTTAAAAAGAACCCCATTAACTCTAAAGTACTAGAACAAGCTCTGGACATACCCTAATTTTCTGAAAGTAGTATGCTATAGAG